ATGTGATAAGGGTGTGATAATCACTGTTATACATCACTTGGGTTATCGTTTTGGTTGATAAGTTCAAATTTTGGTGTAATCATATAATATGGGTGTGATAATCATATGATATGAGTGTGATACTTATGTGATAGAGGTGTGATATGAAGAAAAGATGTTAACGAGAAGAAGAAGATAACTACCAAGAGTAAAATTTGGAACGTGAAAAGATAATTATGGTTAATTAAAATAAAATAAAAWTTATAAAAATTACTTAATTACATTAYTGTCYTTATTAARTTATTTATATATAATAAAAGTTAATTTATTAATTAAAAAAGTTTGAGGTTGTTGGGTTGTTCTCGCGTTCTCGTAAATCACAGGGGTTCTCGTTTGAACCTCCACCACACATTATATATATATATATATATATATATATGTGTGTATTCGTCATGCACACCATGGCTGCTGGCCTGTTGCTGTTTCTCTCACCACCACGAACCCATCTCTCTTCTCCGTCACCCACCCTTCCGCTATCATCCCACCGCTAACCACCGTATCCTTCACTCTCCCATCTCAACCCTCCGACCACCCACCGCTCTCCGCCACACCAGACACCCTTCTTCTCCGATCATCAATGCTTCCCACTGGAAAAACCAGTCTTGAAAACCTCCATTCAATCTTTTACAAACCTGGGCCACACATCTTCAACGATGCCACCATTCTGATTTCTTTCGTCGGCCCGGAAGTTGTCAAGTTCTTGATCTCCTCCCCATATTCGTAAAGAGTTCGTTCTTCCTCGAGCCGTTTCGTGCTGCAATCCTTCCCAGATCGATTATTTGTTAAGATCAGCTGCCATGGCTGGAAATTTATACTTTGTTTCGTTGTTAGTAAGCGGTGGTGCCGACGTAAACCACCGTGGTGTGGACGGTGAATCAGTGATGTCGTTGGCTGTCCGGTCCGGAAACTGTAGCGTTGTTCGGATTATGGTCAAATGTGGGTTCACGATTGATCATTCGTTTGATCGGTTCTTACACGATGCAGCTACGGTGAACGGGGTCGACATAATGGAGATCTTGGGTTTGAGTTATTTAGACATCGATATGAACCCGGTTGATTCATTAGGTCGAACCGGTCTATATTTAGCCGCGAACCATGGAGGCCTCGAAGTCATGCGGTTTCTAACCGCCTTAGGAAGCCGCCCTGATCGATCACCACGGGTGGACACCGCTTCATTGCGTTGCCAATGAAGGACATGAACCGACGGTTGAGTTTCTGCTAAGCGTTTCGAGTTATGTCAAGTATGCGGTAACTGACAAAGAAAAGACCGCAGTTGATCTTGCGATCGAAAAGGGTCACACGAATCTTTACGATATGTTGCGTTTGGGAGACGTTTTGCGTCGAGCCGTAACCGCAAACAATGTTCGTGGGCTCGAGAAATGCTTAGCGGAAGGCGCGAAGGTGGACCGGAAGGACCAAAATGGCTGGACCGCTTTACATCGAGCAGCTTTTAAGGGTTGGATCGAGAGTGTGGAACTTTTGCTAGATCATGGGGCTCGAGTCGATCTGGTGGATGACGTCGTCGGGTGCACCGCTTTGCATCAAGCGGTTGATATATTTGTATATAACTTATGTCTTTATACAATAGAAAACCTTATGTTACTTGTATATGTGTATAGAATTTAGGTTGAGACAAACCTGTTTTTTGAGACCCGTGATATCATTTTCTCACACTTGAAACTTCACAGTAAAACGTTAGGAAAGTAACCTTCACAGTTTTTTTGTTATGAAGGTTCGACTTTGTTTTTACTTTGATAACGTTTTGCTGTAAAATTTCAAGCATAAAAAAATGGTCTCACGTAAACCCAACCCTATGTGTGTATATAGATATAAATGTAAAATTTTCACCTTCTACAGCCCCTGATAATCCATACAGATTTAAAATTAGTGAAAGAACATATGAAACTTGGTCTGTAAATAAATGATTATTCGTCTCATGTGTGTGTATATATATATATATATATATATAGGTGGAGGTTCAAACGATAACACCTCCATTTTACGAGAACGTGAGATTACCCTTATCACAAGTGATAATACGCGTGAGGGGACTTTATGATGTGCTGAAGACGTGTTTCACGACTTAGGCCGCGCCAATGGTTGTCTACGTCTATGATTTAACATCACGTGTGATAGTCTTGATAAGTTATATTATCATATCAACAACATCCTTATCACATGTGATAATACTTGTGATGGGGCATAGTGGTGTAAGGGCGACTTTGCCCGCAACCAAGATTGCATCGAAAATCGTCTGCATCTCTGATTTAGCATCACATGTGTATCATATGTGATAGAATAGTAGTATCACATGTGATTGTCTATGAGAGAGTGAGGTTCGATCATAAACCCGTTTTCGGTTGTGAACTAGAGACAATGGAGAGTGCGAGACATGTCTCTGGGTGTCCACGATCGTCATGGACAATGAACATGAACTATTCATGATAAATGGTCATTTAATGATAATTAACACACCATTCATGATCTATGATAAACTGATATATCATTCATGATGATTAACCCACTAATGTATGACATACCATTTATGATAAAACAATACACCATTCATGATCCATGATAAAACTGATATATCGTTCATGATGATTAATGCATGAACATATGACGATGAATGATACATCATTCATGATCCATGATAAAAGTGATATCATCCATGGTATATAAATAATAACCTGTGAATGTATGAGACACGTGACATGTTCTATTTTGTCCAATGGCTCAAAATGAAACTAATATTTTCAATTGAACCCCTCATATATATATATATATATATATATATATGTATATATATATATATATATATAGACACACATTATACTCTCTTACACGTAGGCAGGTTTGTGTTACGGGGGTGAAATGAGAATCTACCACATGTTCTGAATGTTCACACAATATTCATCATGAATGTTATGGAGACAATGGAGAGAGAGAGAAGTTCGATCATAAACCCTTTTTCGGTTGTGAACTATAGACAATGGAGAGTGCGGGACGTATCTCTAGGTGTCCACATTCGTCATAGATAATGAACATGAACTATTCATGATGAACGATGTACCATTTATGATAATTAACACGCTATTTATGATCCATGATAAACTGATATATATCATTCATGATATTAAGCCATTAATGTATGACATAACATTTATGATAAGAGAATGCACCATTCATGATCAATGATAAATTGATATATCGTTCATGATGATTAACCCATGAACGTATGATGATGAATGAGATACATCATTCATGATCCATGATAAATTGATATATCATCCATGGTATATAAATAATAATGTGTGAATGTATGAGACACGTGGCATGTTATATTTTGTCGTGTGGCTCAAAATGAAACTTCGATTTTCAATTGAACATGCCCATATATATATATATATATGTATACACACACACACACACACTATGCTATATTACACGTAGGTAGGTTCGATTATGGACCAGGGGAGAAATGAGAACCTACCACGTGTTATGAACATTCACAGGATATACATCATGAATGTTATAATGAATTTTACATTCATTTATTCATGATTAATGGTGGTTAGCGGTGGGTTGGAGTAGGTGGAGTGAGTGGCAGTTGTAACATCGACAATAATAGTGTGGTGGTGGGGTTACCTTAGGGGAGTGACAATAATAGTAGTAGTATAGTCGTAGAAGGAATGTGCACCGAGTGTCCCAAGGGTGGGTGTGATGACAACAATAGTAGTATGGTGGTTAGTGGTGGGCAGGGGCGACAGTAGGGATGGGGTGGGGCATGTCGAACAATAGTAACATAGTCGTGGTGAGTGGTGATGAAATTGAATTCCTTCTATTACGTTAATGAATGATGAATTCATTAATTTATGAAATTCAATAAAATTCCATCAATTTTAAAAAAATTAAAATTTGATCAAATAAATTTGTTAAAACGGCCCCTTTTAATCCAAAACTTTGCTTGGCCAAAAGTCCAAAACTTTAAAATGACGCATCCACGTTGGCAATCCAAGTGAACAAACATGATCGATGGTTCGCCATGATGGCAATCCTAGAGACTCCAATCCCACCAATCAGAGATTTACTTTCGCTTTTCTCCCTCATTTTATAAACCAAGTTCGCGCTTTCATTTCAAATCACATCCCACCCATCGTCGATATTCAAATCATCAAACCCTAGAAACAATCCAATCCAAAGCAACAAGTAGAATCAATGGATTCAGTAAAAGCAACGAAATCCGTCGGAGGAAGAGGCAAACCGAAATCCACCAAATCCGTCTCCAGATCTTCAAAAGCCGGTCTTCAGTTCCCCGTCGGCAGAGTTTCCCGGTACCTTAAAGCCGGCCGATATGCAAAACGTGTCGGATCTGGTAGTCCTGTTTACCTCTCCGCCGTCCTCGAATATCTCGCTGCAGAGGTACATGTCGTGATATTATAGTCTTCCTGTTTTATAAGCGATTAGATCTAGAATTCCGTTTATTAATCATTTAGTGATATTGATTTTTTGATGTATGATTTAGGTTTTGGAGCTTGCTGGAAATGCTGCAAGGGATAACAAGAAGAACAGGATCACTCCGAGGCATATTCAATTGGCTGTGAGGAACGATGATGAATTGGGCAAGTTGTTGGGAAAAGTGACGATTGCTAACGGTGGAGTGTTGCCGAAGATTCATCAAACTCTACTTCCCAGCAAAAAAGGTAAAGGCAAGGATGAGATTGGGTCTGCTTCACAAGAATTTTAGGGTTCTAGTATTGACAGTCAAATTGAAATAGGGTTTTCAAGTTCTTATTACTCGATCCTCTTGTTAATATTCATGTGAAATCGTTTCCCTTCTGTACTGATTTCTAGCTATAATGAAAGTGGTTTTTTGTTGAATTTGTACGTTCGTTGTTAAGCAGATTTGCGTACTTGCTTATTCACGCATATACCAATTAAATCAATTGTTCCCCTTTGTTGTATGTTGGAGGTTTTTCTCTGTCAGAATCTTGAACATGTAGTATGTTTGGTGTTATCCAGTTACCGTATTTTATCAATCCACTTGTTAATTTATATTTCTTAGAACATTTATTCTCATTATGAGAGCATTTGCAATGGAGATTGTTGTTAGAGATTTTATAAAATCCTCTACTGTGTTATCTGACTGTAAACATGAAATTTTGTTTCCCGTCTTCATAATTACTGGGCATCTGCCTTATTAGTGCCCAATTGATTGTGATTAGTGTGGTGGTAACTCGTAAATCTATGCTTCCTAGTTCATAAGAACCAGCCAGCTGCCTTTTGAAAATATGTCTGTGCAATGCCCACGATTAGTCTGGGAAGTTGGAGCAATGGCTGGACAAGCAATCTAGATCAGAAAATCTGCAGCTGATTCCCCTTTGGTAGAATTGTTTGCTTTCTCATAGCTGGTAATTTCGCCGGATGTCAGAAATTAGGCATCCAATTCCTGTTTATCTCGCTGCTCACTCTTGAATTCCTTGTGGTGCAGGTTGGTATTCTTGTTTGTTTGTTGTATATGTTCTTATGAATTGATTTGGAGTTTGTTAAATAGGTTGTTGAAATGGAACGATGGATAACAAGATTTGGATGGATTGTTTCGAGGCATATAGACGAGGAATTAAGCAAGCTTTTGGGGACTGTTACCAAGGGCTGTCTGGTTAGTTTTCTATTATAAAGCTGTTTTGTGGATTGATTCGTGTGTATAAATAGGGAAGCTTTTTGTTTGGGGGTTTATTGATGGAAGAAGCGTTTGTTTTTATTGGGAGGGGTTTATTGCTTAAGCCACTACATGTAATAGCGGGACGAATAACCCATTAAGCTCATTAAGCTGTTAACAAACAGCCCCCCTAACTTACTGTTGCTAATGGTCGTGTTTTACCAGATATTTATCAGAATATATCGCCGAAAAGTTCAGGATAGGAAGTATGAATTGGATCTGCTTTGCTAGAATTTTTTAGTATGATCTTCGCCATTGGAAGTCATATTTTTCAAAACTGTTGTAATATTTGGTGGGTTTCCTATTGTTTTTCTGATCTAGTGATCTCCAATCAGTGTATATAGACCTAATACACATCAACTTTTCAGGTGGTCCTAAATGTTTGAAGCTTAAATGAATTTTAGCTGTTCTTCTTGCTATACCAGGGTTTAATTTTGAGATGGGGTTTGTGTGTGCTGTTTATGGTGGCAATGAGCAAGAGTTTGCATTAGAGTTTATAAATTTAACCCCATTGAGCTGAATGAAGGTATGGACTCTCATCTTTAAACTTTTTGAGACCTTGTTTTTAGGCATCCAGTGAACAAGCAAGTGGTTCCAATTAGGGGTGTGCGCGGTTGGGTTGGGCGGTTTACAATAATTTTACAACCCAACCCAACTCATTCAAAAGTATAACCCAACCCAAACCTTGCGGGTTGAGGCGGGTTGGCGGGTTAGTAGTTACATAATTTGACGAATGAAATAATTCATAAAACTTAAGTTTATGGACCATACTATAAAACGTCCTATTAAAAAAGGTTACAATAGGTTTATAGGACGTTTTTGGACGTTTCAACAAGTGTTTTAGAATGATCTTTAAATAAAATGTCGTACTAGTTATTTTATAGAAACGTTTTGAGAAGTGTCCCATAAACTCATTTATTTATAGGACACCTATGTTCATATGACTTTTTTTCAAGTCGTGTTGTATAAAGTAACTAATACGCCATTTTATTTTAAAAAATCATATAATTTGTTAAGACATCCAAAATCATCCTATAAACATATTGTAACTCTTTTAGATAAGACATTTTTCTAATGTAACTCTTTAAAAGCGTCATAGATTGATSGATTCATCCATCAAATATCTATCAATATCATTCATATTCTCCAACATATCAATTTGTTGTTGCTGCAAAAAAAAATCAATAATTTTCCATATTAATTAGATTATTTGTCATCATTCTTTGATCGTGAATCTCTTTTGGTAACCTATACGTTTAGCTAAAATGATATAAAATTTATATATATATATGTATATATATGTGTGTGTATATATAATTTTATAAAAATTATATATTAGCGGCAGGTTGGGTCGGGTTTAATTGAGTTGTTAGCAGGTTGGGCGGGTTTCGCGGGTTAACGGTTTTTTATGGCAATCCCTCTTGTATTTATATCTTGTGAATTTCTTTTCCAGGCATTGGGTGCCACCGTTGGCAAAAAGACAACAATGAAGGGGACATAGTACTGGTTAAGAGTTTTGGTCTAGGTAAGTCTTGAACAAAATAATTGTTTACTAAGGGACCGTTTACCAATTGATTACCAACAAGAGTCACCACTCTTATTTATCTTTTGAAACCATTAGGCCTTGGCTTAGTGGCCACCTCCTTCCGTAAATGCCTTGTCTTGGGCGTGCCCACCCGGGTTCGATTCCAGGGGAGGACAGGTTGTTTTTACCGGTGCTTGCTTATGAGGTATGGCAAGTAGGGTTCACAAAATGTGGACCACGGGGCCATAAGGTCCCTGCCATTAAACCTTCCCCCCCCCCCTCTTATTTACCTTTTGGGTTAACATTTGCGGTCATCAGAATGGGTTGTTGGTAAGCGTTTATAACCACGTTTACTGGATAAGAGTCATCACCCTCACTTACGAGGTAAAACTCTTGATCATTGCCTTCCTCTTATTCTTGGTTGTTGTTATGTTCCCCTGGTAAGGTAGTTGAGCCAATAAGCGTTTACCAAGGTAAGTTTTTAGTAAACGACACTTAAGTATTTTGTATTAAATGCTTACCGATAAAAAAAATTATGGTAAGTGACTCGGTTAGCGACAAATTAGTGATTGACTCGGTTAGCACCCTGGTCAATTAGGAATGTAGGTAAACAACTTCATCTCATGCCATGTAAGAGACACTTATTTGGTAAGAGACAATCGACACTAAGGGATTGTTTACCAAATGCTCAATGGGTGTCAATTATGTTACCGGGTGAGATTGACAAGAATTGAGAATCTTACCCGGTAAGTGAAAGGCTAGACCCTTATCGAGAATGTTACCTGATAAGGTAAGTAAGTGCTTACCTGGTAGACATTTGGTAAATGGCCCTGATGAAAGGAACAATTGTTGTATCTAGACAGACCAAAATATAAAGAAGTTGGTATTTCCTGTTTCGGTAGTCGTTGTAGTTCTGCTTCAAGTACAACTTATAGTTGGACGAAATAATTCAAGAAAGCAGATGTGGAGAGGTTAAGGCATGAATAGTAACTCACGAGGGTACATTATTCTATGAACTAGTTTAGCAAAACCGGCTAGATGGTCAACTATCTAGCGTGTTATCTTTCTTTTGACAAGGGGGAGTATGAACATACACCGTTAATCATACCTCCTATTCATCTATTACAAATAATTAATATGGAAGAGGGGGATATGAGCATACGCCATTAACCATCAAAATATTACTCTGTAAATCATATTCATATGTTAAAAATAATTAACGTCTAAGCATTTGAAGTCTAATATGTTTGGTAAAAACGATCGATGGTTACTCTTGTTGTTAGGCTAGAGCTAGACGCTACCGTTGCCCACCACCACCTCTTTCTTCAACATGTCACTACCTCATCCACCGGAGATTGTTTTTTGTCGAGTTCTCTTTTCTTTCTGGACGCAACGTTTTTTTGCTTATGTTCCTCTCCGTATGTTGTGTTCTTTGTTCCTACAAATTCTTCACATACATCGTTTATCTTAACAAAGGAGAGTGGCACGATCTGTTTGGTTTCACAAGACTTCACATATCGATGCGATGATTGACGAAGACATATCATCATCCAATATTGTTGGCAAATACAACACGATTTTATATTAAGAAGAGAGATTTAAATCTTGACTTAACTTTATTTTGATTGTTATTATTCATTTATATATTTAATTAATAAAAATGTAATTTACTTATTTTTATAATTTGTTTTATAGAAAATGAATTCCAGTTCAAATACACCAATGTCACGATTCCTTCCAAATCAAAATCCTTCCATGAAATTCAAATTCGTCAAAACTATTTCATCAAACCAAACTCTCCGTAATTGTATTTCCAGTAAAATTTGCTTACATTATGCGCATATTCAATTATATGTATATTTACAGTGTATTTTACTTGTAGAGAAGAGAGTAGAGAGATTACAAAGTACCACAATGATTTTTCTATACATGCACACTGATTATTCCTTGAAAGTTGAAGATTGCTTTAAAACATATTTAAAAAAGGGCAAATTGTATGAAAAAGTAACGTACTTTAACTTAATCCTATTTTGGGTAACATATTTCAAAACTTTTATTTTGGTACCTAATATGTAAAATTTTAAACATTTAAATACCTGAGTATCCGGTTGAAGACTTATTTTAGATTAGAAAAAAAACTAATCTTAGATTAAAAAAATCCGTGTCACTAATCATGTAAGCAAAAAATACTGAGTTGGATATCATATCACGTGCCACATCAGCATGATAATCGGTGAATCCTTCAACCGGTTACCCGATTACTTAAATGTTTAAATATTATACATCTTAGGTATCAAAATGAAAGTTCTAAAAGTATGCTATCCTAAATAGGAATCAAGTTAAAAATACGTTATTTTTTCATGCAATTTGTGTGTTAAAAAATTAGCTAATTAATGAGTTTATATACTAATTAAAATGAAATTCAAGGAATGTAGTAGAAAATCTAGTTTGAAAGGAGAATAATTACAAAATTCAAAGAATACTATAATTAACAGTATGATAATATTTGTTTTAATTGATGACTTTCCAGATTGTTAGCTGAGTGAAAAAGCAGTCCATCAGATACAGCCTTTCAAACGCAGTCGTGTCTTTGCTGGCCCACTACTTCGTTCTTCTTCCCTCTTCCCTCCCCCTCTGCGTCTTCGATTCATCAATCTTGTGGGGTTCCATTCGAGTTCAATACAAGATTCAAAAGTCTCCATTTCAATCGTCAATTTCTCTCTTCTTTTTTTCAACCTTTTTCGTATAAACGATTTGAATTTTGAACTAGTTGTACAGGAATTTTGATTTTAGATAAGAGGGTTTGCAATTGGATCTCCTTTCACCGCCCTGACACGGAGGTGCGTTTTGCTCCAATTCGTTGTCGGTCCTTGATTGAGATTCACTTCTTTCTTATTTTTTCTACTTATTGGAAGTGATTTTTGTGGGTTTCCATAAGAATTTGGGGGTTTTGGGTTTTAATTTGATGGGTTCAAAACCTTGGTTACAACCTGCTCCTACTTATCATCCATTAGAGACGTATTGGGATACAGAAGATGACGCCCCTGGCCCTCGGTGTGCCCACACTCTAACTGCCGTCGCACAGACCAAAACTCAAGGCCCTCGGCTCATCTTATTCGGTGGCGCCACTGCCATCGAGGGTGGCGCCGCCGCCCCCATCCCCGGCATCCGTAATTTTTGAAACCTGTCTTCTATACATAATTGATTATTTACATTAGCTCTGAAAGTTGATGGAATTCTTGTTGATTGTGCGATCTTAGGGTTAGCTGGAGTGACAAACTCGGTTCATTCATACGATGTTCTTACTAGGAAATGGACCAGGTAGTTCTAAGTTGTTCTTGTAAGTAACTGTCTTATTTGCTTACAAAATCAAATGCTTAATTGTGAGAATAATTCAGAATTCGACCAGCGGGAGAACCACCTTCACCAAGGGCTGCTCATGCAGCTGCTGCCGTTGGAACAATGGTTGTATTTCAGGTAATTGAAGAGTCTAGTTCAGAATAAATTAGAAAAAAATGGAAGTTTTTATTTGCTAATTTCTGGTGTTTATTTGTTATAAAATTGATGGTGCATCACTAGGGTGGCATAGGTCCTGCTGGGCATTCAACAGATGATCTTTATGTGCTAGACATGAGTAACGACAAATACAAATGGCACCGGTAACGTTGTTTTTGAAGTGTCATTTGTGATTCTTTTTATCTGAAATTCTGATGCTTATCATTTCTTTCAAGTGTTGACTTGGTTTCTTTGCTTCGGGAGTGCAGAGTTGTTGTTCAAGGACAGGGCCCTGGCCCTCGTTATGGGCATGTCATGGATTTGGTTGCACAACGATACCTTGTTACTGTTAGTGGCAATGACGGTGAGTCGTTATGGTTTATATACTTGCTTAATCTCCCAAATCTTGACTTCTCCACTATATATACTGGATGAAAGTGCTCTCGAGGAGGATCATTCTTAAGTTCCTGACTTCTCCACTAGAATTTTATATATATGAAACCCATCAAGCTTAATCTCCTGAATCTTGACTAGAAGTGCAAATTCGGTCTGTTACTTGGCTTGCACAAGGTGTAAGTTCTCTGAATTACGGTTTTCCAGATCAACTTATTATGCAATTAACACAATGAATACCCCTTCGTGAGACCATTACACAAAGAAGGCTGAGTAGACACATTTCAGGACAAAAATGAATGGTTCTATGACATTTTGGAAATGAACTTTGGGTTCTCGTCAAAGGTGGAGGTCATTGTTTGTTGACAAGAGCCAGCAAACATATAAAGTTTCTATCTAATAGCCAGCCACCATTGTTCTCTACAAAGATGATCCTAGAGATGTTTTATTTTACTCATTTATCTCTAGTACACTATTATGTTAAATGTGTACCTCAGAACAAATATCCTTTCAAAGTTTGTTTTATTAGTTGACCAATTCTCTTGTCTTCAATATTTTGATTACTGCATATGAGATGTAATAACTTATGTGAGTATAAGCTTGTCGTTGCAATTTGTACACCTTAAGTGCTAAATCTTCATACTGAGGGGTTATTGGAGAATGGCAGACCGTGATGATACTTCATTCAGAACCATATGTGTATATTAAAAATACTGTGGCGAAAGAATGGTGCATCTTCTGCCTTTGAACTTCGACTACTGCTATCCTACAATTTGAATGCTTTTAGCTTTTGACTTTTAATAAAGAGAACTAAACAGTTGTTACAAATATTCCTTCTATTAGCGAGACATTAGAAAGCTGATACTATTCCCTCCACAATAAAGAGTTCACATTTGACTGTTAGAGTGTCAAATTGTTTCTTTAAAACATCAATGTTGACGAGAAATACCTTCTATGCGTAAAAAAATGATTTAAGTAGTAGAGTAAGCTTGAATTGATAAAATCGAAAGTGGACTTAGGGACAGATGGGGTATATTTTTCTTAGAGAATCTCCAATGGAGGTTCTTATATTCTTAGAGCATCTCCAATGGAGGTTCTTATATTCTTAGAGCATCTCCAATGGAGGTTCTTATAAGAACTTGCACTTTTTGTTGCCACCTCACTTCCAACTCATCAAATTAAGAACTCACTTAAAAGTCCACAACAGTAGTTCTTATAAGAACCTTTGTGGGTCCCATGTATTTTTTCAACATCAATGATTATTATAAAGTCAATAAAATATATAAAAACAGTAGGAAATTGTCATTTCACACAAACTTCATGGTAAGAAATCTCCACAATGGTAGTTCCTACAAGCCACTTCACTTTTTGCTTATAAGAACCTTGCATTGGAGATGCTCTTATTGTAACTACTAATGATAGCATTTGTTTTTCTTTAGGAAAGAGAGTACTCTCAGATGCTTGGGCTTTGGATACTGCTCAAAAACCGTATGCATGGCAGAGGCTTAATCCAGAAGGTGATAAGCCTTCCGCTAGAATGTAAGTGGATGTTATAATTCTAAGTACATAATTGACACTTCTTAAAGGCATTTGTGCTGTGAGTTCGTTGGTCTTGATTTATTTCTTTGTAAAGCTGAGATTCTATTTTAGTTGTTACCTTCATTAAACTTGTTATTTTGTAATATATAATCCTTGTGTTAGACTACAGGAATCTTTTTGATCCTCTAAAAGTCTCTCTTGTATTCAGGAAATAGTGATAAAGTTAGAGAATTTTAATTATATGAATAATCTTGCATTTGATAATGTCTTGCGAAGAAAATGTATCTGAAGAATGGGGCATGCTTTCTAAGAGTAGCTCAAATATACTTTTGAATGGTCTTCTAGCTGGTAGTCAATACCTAGATTTTTCTTTTTATGGTATTGAGATTTTAAGTTACGTCAACTTTATAATGGAAATCCTAGGTAAAAGGAAAGATCTTTATTGCTTATTATTATGTTGCACGTCTTTCTTTACATATGCATATATAAGATCAGAAGCTTATTTGTTCTGAGCTTAGATGGGACTGGATTTGTTTTCACCCCATTAGTTCACGATTAAAGGGCCATTTCCATGCTATCTGGGTCTAAAAAGACCAAATCTAGCTTCAGACACTGAAATTTGAAAACCCTTGTTGGCGTTTCTTGACATTAGAAACATGCCTTTAGATCTTGAATTAACATTGCTAGATGGACTGGCAAAAATCCAGCTTGCTAGGAACTGATGGGTATCTTATATATATAGGGTCATGTTCAGGGGAAAACCGCAAAAAAAATGAAAAACTGAGGAACACCCTAGTAACAGTTCTTCTTGACAGTATGCACACATGCATACAAGTAATTTGTAAGCAGTTTGTTTGGTATGCACATGTGCATAACATGCACTCATGCATAAAAATCAAGAAATAGCTTCAATAACTTGTATGCACATGTGCGTATCATCCAGATGAACGGTCACCAGAGTGTTCGTCAGTTTTTCATTTTTTTTGGGGTTTTCCCGTGAACCTCCCCCCTCTCTATCTCTCTCTCTCTCTCTCTCTATATATATATATATATTTGTTTATGTATATGTTTATTGTATAGTTTTCCCAAGAGTATTGTAGCTGGTGCTTCTTCTAAGCAGTTGATAACCCGTTATGGTAATGGTATACCTTGGAGACTTATATTCTGTTTCACTTGTGCATTTTGTTTTTTGCAGGTATGCAACAGCTAGTGCCCGCTCAGACGGTATGTTTTTGCTTTGTGGTGGAAGAGACACCTCTGGCACGGTATGTGCTATCAGTATCATGTAGGCTTAGTTTTACTGCTAACTTCCATGATTGCTTCTATGTGATTTAACTAGGGCCCATGTTATGATTACTTCCATGCCAGTCATGCAAAATTCACTCTGCTTTATCTCGGTTGATGATAATAAAAATATGCTTCACTTAAAGGCACTGTAGTTGATTTACTTGGTGCTTTTCGCTTTTTATTAACTTTATATTCGTTACACTTGCTGCCCTTCGTATTATATATATATGGGCTAGTCGACATGGTTAAACCATTCTGTTAATTTACATCATGTTTATCTCTTTCTATTAACATTACACGTGTAAGGGTCTGTTTGTCAGCAGCTTAATGAGCTTAATGAAAATCATAGCTTATTTTGGTCAGCTATGCATGACTGTTTGGTAGTGGTACAATGGTATAGAAAGTGGCTTACTCAGTAAGCTTCTACGGGAGAGCTTTATGCAAAAAGCCAAGTTTTTTCCAAACCTGCCCCTTCTAATTAAAAAACACACTCCTTCCATCTATGAAAAAGCCCTCCCAAACAAAAACCTGACCAATCTATATAGACAGGTTAATCCACACATGCAACTAAATCCATACATGACTTAATGGAAAACCAACCGCACATCCCCTAAGTCTTGTTTGTAACCTTGAATTCATTGCTTTAAAATCTCAAAATGCCATTGCTAACCTTTATAGCAATGCCATGTGAGAATATCTTGGGAAGGAATAGTTGCTGTGCTATGCTTGTGCCTTTATGGTTAACAACATCGATATGGTAATTTTTTTGTCATAGGATAGGTGTGACCAAGTTCAGCCACTATTGGCGTTGTATATGTGCATAAGAAAGTACTCAAGGTGGCTAATAGCGGTGGTAAAGACCGTTTTGAGCTGCTTTTTAGAGTTGCAATAGCGGTGTTAAAACCACTAATAGGATCTGGGCTATTTGACTAGGCTTTTAAGGTTTTAGGAATATCACTTAAGGAATAGGGTACTGGTTGGCGATGGGTACCGACTCAGCATCATCTCTTTTCTTCTTTCCTCTCGAGTCTCTTCGCTTCTTTTCTCAAAGCAATCCAGATCCCCGCGAAGCATCGTCTTCTTTCAGTTCTTCTGTTTGCCAACTCCTCTTCTCTCATCTGGAAGTCTTTGCTCCTTATGAACTCGTCTCCCCGTCTCCTCTCGAGTCTCATTTGTTTATATATGAGTGCAACTATCCCTCTGTTTTGCACTTCTTACTTCTCCATGATTAACTAACATGTTTTTATTATTCTATATGAGTTCAAGACGTCAAGGTTAGACCATAAAGAAGTCCCAATTTTTGTGTGAGACTTGATTTGTTTGACTTGCTATGAGTTAGACATTTACATATACAACATATTAACTTCATTAAATATATAAATATATTTGTTTTACTATATAAACATAATTTATTTTTCCATTATACCGCCGGTTTACCAACGCGATAACCTCTATATCAAATCATGGTCCCAGCCATGATTTCAGAAAACGACCGCATTAACTGTTTAGGTGCTAAAGTATAGGTAAGGCAAGTTTAGAAAGGTACTTTGGGGTTTGTCGTATTCTCTAACAGAGAATACCCAAGCCACCTGAAAAAACAAGATATTACAAGAAAAGAGGCGAAAGAGATGGCCAAAACCCACAACCCAATAACATATTGATTTATTGAGAGTTCGTGGAGCCTCTAGGATAAACCAATTGCTTAATCTATTTGACGTGGATAAAGATGAAATCAGTTGTTGGCTTGGATCTTCTTCTCAAGAGCATCACATTTGAAACTAGTATAAAAATAGGATATAAAAGTAAGAGTAAATTACAAAACCACTCACCAGAAAAAAGAAGAGATGAAGAAGAAAAAGGCTTTGTAATCGGACGATCGACTGAGGAAGAAATAGTTGGCTAGAGAATAGATGGGGGGTTTTCTAGGGCTTGAAACCTTATATATGTTTCCTTTCTGTGCCCCAACTTGATAAAACCCATAGCCTAATTGGGTCACTGCTATGTTTTAATTATTGAAATTTGAAGGGGAGTAAAATGAAATTTTAGAGAAATTGGAGGGGCTGTCTTTGAACTTAAAAACCCTTTTTGTTCAGTTTGCCATAACCCGAAAATGATCATCTCTAACTTGTGCATTCACTTACCACTTCTGGAGAGAGACCAAGATACAGATATGATATTCTTCCTCTCAAATATGAACTTAAGGTATGGTTATCAGGTTATGGAAAACCAAACAATGGTCTATTTTTAAGTTTTAAAGACATCCCCCAATTTCTCTGAAATTTCATTTTACTCCCTTCAAATTTCAATAATTAACAGTGGCTCAATTAGGCTACAGGTTTTATCGAGTTGGGCCACATAAAGGGAACTTATATAAGGTATTCATGCCCTATAAAATCCCACATCTATTCTCCGGCTAACTATTTTTTCCTTGCTCGATTGTCCGATTACAAAGCTTTTTTTTCGTTCATATCATCTTCTTTTTCTAGTGGGTGGTTTTTTGTTATTTATCTTTACTTTCATATCCTATTTTTTATTCTAGTTTCAAATGTGATGCTCTAGAGGTTGACTCTATTTAAACAGTTACTTCATTAATCGGTATTCTCCCACCATATGTTCACCCTGTGTATCTGTTATATACATGCCAAGTAGTATGCATATTTGTATGTAGTTCCAAAATCATATGAAACTCAAAGATTTGGGTAATCCATGGTTTTAAAACGTTCGAGGCTGTGAGAAAACGCATTTGAGACGGCATCTCTACTGGGTTGGTTGGTTCATACGCCTCGAACCACCATGTGGGTCCGAGGCAGGACTAACGCTTTAGGGTTAAAAAATTTGCCCAATGAAAGTAAATATACTGACCGAATCGATGACCTGTTATAGTGAAACCTCTGTTCCTTGCTTTGCTGCCTTGGCCATTGCAGAAGAAGGTTGGACTTACTGCTATGTGTCACCTTTATTGTTTTTCTTTATATGCGAGGCTTTTATTGTTTCTATTTATGTGTGTAAATTGAATTGTTTCTATTAACAAATAAAATCTTCAAATATTAATTGCATAATTTAAAATGTTTAAAGACTATTAACAATATTGTGATTCTTAATATATCTGATATGTATTATATATATAATTTATTTTACTTATTTATATTTTTACCTATCTGCAGCCCTTAGCAGATGCTTATGGACTGCTCATGCATAGGAATGGCCAATGGGAATGGACTCTTGCACCTGGTGTTTCGCCATCATCAAGGTACCAACATGCATCGGTAAGTAATAGGACTTCACTTGCAGCACATCTCTCTCTCTCTCTCTCTCTCTATATATATATATATATGTATATATATCTGTGTGTGTATATATATAGGGGTGCCTTCTTTAAAGAACTTTCTAATCTATCAGATCCGTGAGATCCAATTTAGACCACAAAAAATTGGCTAAAAACCCTCTCTCCCCTCTCATCTCCTCTCTCTCATAAAATACATGCACACACACACACAATTGAATGTGTACACAAGGTGAACTGTGAACACCTTCTTAGGAATACTATTTTAGTTTGTGAACACTCTTTGTATCTAAGAGATCTGATATAGCCTGTGAACACATTGTGAACACCAACTAAACTAAACGTCTAAACCTAAACCTTACCACTTGTGAATAGTAAGGAATTTCTTAAAGTTGTTCACAATGTGTTCACCTTGTATGCACATTCAATTGGGTGTGGGCGCATGTATGTTATGGAGAGAGGAGAGGGATATATATATATATATATATATGTATATATAATTTGACTTTCCTAAAAAATGCTTTAATGTTTATTTATCTCAAGTTAGTGGCTTATCATGGCTCTCACGGATCTCACAAGTCATGGAGTTCTCAAATGATTAACCCCCTATAATATATATAGGGAGGTTCAGGGGAAAACCCCCAAAAACTCAAAAGCTGAGGAACGCCACATGTGCATACAAGTAATTGAAGTTGTTTCTTGGTTTTTATGCACATGTGCATACCGAAAAAATTGCTTACGAGTTACTTGTATGCACATGTGTATACCATCAAGATGAACGGTTAGCCTCGGTTTTTCACTCTTTTGCGGTTTTCCCTTGAAACCTGACCCAATATATATGTGTAATCTTGTGTTCGTGCAGACTTCCCCTTTTTTGAACTGGAGGGTGTTCTTTTTAATTATCTAAATTGGTAATGTGCACATCCTTACTATCAATTCATCTGCTGGTCATCAGGTCTTTGTTGGGGCTCGATTGCATGTTACAGGAGGTGTTGTCAGAGGAGGTCGGGCAGTAGACGGTGAAGCAGCTGTTGCAGGTTAATTTAGGTTGAATTTGTAACTTTCTAGTAAAAATTGTATTTAACCAGATAAAAAATTAAATCTTTGCAATGGGATTTTACAGTGTTGGACACTGCTGCTGGGGTTTGGTTAGATAGACATGGCTTAGTGACTGCTCCACGCAAGGGGCAGACCGAAGATCCTTCTTTGGAACTTATGCGTCGCTGTCGACATGCTGCTTCATCTGTTGGTGTTCGTTTATATATCTATGGTGGTCTTAGAGGAGGTAAGGTTTTGCCGGTCAGTTGAGTACCCATAACTTAATAACTTTGCTTTACTATTACGTGTAACCATGAATCAAAATCGTCAATTAACGTAACGAACTTTCTAAAATTTCTATTTCTGGACCAAGTCAACACTGCTGAATATACAAAATCGTTGATTAATGCAACAAACTTTAACATGTGGTTGTCATGACATAGGACTTTTAGAAAGCTTGTTAGGGTGCGTTTGGCATTAGGCAGAAATGACAGGACAGACAGCTGTTCAACGTTTGGCAAGACAAAACCGGATAGGACAGAACTGATAAAGTGACCAGTTTACCCCTAATGTGTTGTTTATATCTTTTGTATAGTTTGATTAATTTATATAATTTATTATATTATAATAAAATAAATATTTTTGTAATAAAATATATCATTATAAGGTTTTGTGTCAAGATGATTAAAATGACACCAAATTAAAAAGTCGATGTAGTTTCCAATTTTTTATTTTATATATTCTGTATTTTTTTATTACTATTTTAATAAATTATATAAATTAACCAAAATATAGAAACCATATAAAAATAATATTTTGAGGACAGTAAAGTGGAAGTTTAAAAAGTATAAAATACAATAAACAAAATTTAAAGAATGAATAAATGTAAAAGAGAGATATATTTGATGTTTTAGATGAGAATTAGGTTTTATTTTGAAGTTATATTGCTAAAATATAGGTCTGCTCCATCTTGTTTCATGGGGTGAGGGTGGAACACGCCTGTTCCACTTTGTTCCTGTCTGTTCCACGTAAGTCCTTCCAAACGTGTAACAAAGATCCCTGTCCTGTCCTGTCTTGTGTACCAAATGCATACTAAGAGCCAAACTTCTCCCTCACAAGGAAAAAGAACCCACCTTTGGTTGGGACATATTGGGTTCGTTTGGTTTATGTTTTGTTTCTTTTTCTTTGGTAGCAAACTTGATTGACCCACATGTTTTTTGAATTTCAATTTTTGTCCTATCTCATTGTAATGGTGCATAATATTAATTTTGTTTTACCTGCTGCAGAGATTTTGTTAGATGATTTCCTTATCGCAGAGAATTCACCTTTTCAGTCCGATGTCAATTCTCCTGTAGCAACGTCGGAGAGGGCCTCCAATGTGGCCAGTCCCAGGACAAATAATTTGAGTCCATTTGATCCTTTATCTCCTGATGACGAACCTCAGAGTCCATCATCTCTAAGGTTAGGCTTGTTTTCCCCTTTGGTCCTACTTGAACCGTTCGGTGGGAAGTTCGTTTTTGTTCGTTTATTTAATAAGTGAACGAACATGAACATATTTTTTTGTTCGTTTAGTTAAATGAATGAACATGAACAATGGCCTTATTCATTCATTTATGTTTGTGAACATTCTTTCATTTACGTTTGTTTATGTTTGTTTATACATAAATATATATTCCTATATTATCACATTAATATGTGAAATTGTTAATTCAATTAAAATTTTAAAATTCCGTTTTTATCTTTCCTATTTACCCGGTTTATCATTTTGTTATCTTATTTTTTAGGAACGAAATAATGAGTAATGGTGGTTTAAGTTTGTTCGTTTAGCATCTTAATGAACGAACATAAACGAACACAAACAAACACATTTTCTTAACGAACGAACATGAACACAAAAGATTCCTTTAATTTTCCATTTGTGTTTGTTCGGTTAAGTTAAATTCGGTTCATTTTTGTGTTTGTCAGCATGGACAAAGAATCTATGGACAGGCTGGTTGAAGCTTCGGCTGCTGAAGCCGAGGCTGCTAATGCTGTCTGGCAGGCTGCGCAGGCACATGCTGCAAATCCTGAAGAAACATCTGTTGCAGATGATAACTCACAAGCTGTGGATACAAATTCTGAGGGTAGTGATGCAGAAGGAGATGTTCGACTTCACCCAAGAGCTGTATGCTTTCGCGTCTTTATCCAACAGATTTTCTATAGTATTCTCCAAAACGGAGAAACAAAACTTAAAATCTCCAAAAAAAGAGAATTACTCCTTCTGTCCCAAAGTAAATGTCTACTTTCCCATTATACCCTTAATTAATTATGTGATGGAGAAAATTTTTCTCTATAAATTAAGGGTAAAACTGTCTCTTTGTTGATTAAAAAGTGTAATAATTACACATTCCTAAAATTGTGCGCATATTTCATTGTGTACGTTTATTTTAGGATGGAGGGAGTATATTTAACTCCAATAGTTTCTCCATTTTGGTGATTTCAAAGTTAATTAGATTATTAAAATATTCAATAGATTCAATATCCCGTTAAAATTCCCAGTGAACTATATATGAAATGATAATACATTGAACTTTATTGGTGGGAATAATAATAAAAAATCTCTTTCTTTGGTATTTATGTTTTCTAGAAATCTCCAAATTTGGAGATTTTTAACCTCTCTCATACTTTCTCCATTTTGGAGAATCCGTTGATAGGTTAAAACTCCAAAATCTCCATTGGGAGTATATGTTGAAGATGCTCAAAGATGGGAAGTTGATGAAAATAGCCAATCTTTCCAACCAACTTCAAGTTTTAGCCACTTTTTCAATTGAATTCCCATTTTAGCCAATGTTTACGCAATTTTCGTACGCATTTGCGTATTTTCAGATTAAAAAGAAGAAAAAAGATTTTTTTTGCTAAAGGATTCAGATTTTTGCCTAAGGATTCAAATTTTTGCGTAAAGAATCCTTACGCATATGTGTAAGGATTTTTTTTCCTTTTTCTTCCAGATATCTGTCTTTATGCAAATGCGTAAAGCATCTGCTTAAAGACCAGCTATTTTGGGAAGAGACTCTGAAAAGTGGCTAAAAAGGTGAATTTGGTTGATGGTATTGGCTATTTCAGTCAATTTTTCCGTCAAAGATTTGTGTATTATATTATATTCTCCTGTAGGATAAAGAAATATGATGTTAATATAATGCAGGTTGTGGTTGCTAAAGAGGCTGTAGGTAACCTTGGTGGTTTGGTAAGGCAGTTGTCCTTGGATCAATTTGAAAACGAGAGTAGGCGAATGATTCCTTTGCAAAATGACTTGTCATATTCTACCAAAAGATTTCAAAGGCAAAAGTCACCACAAGGCTTGCATAAGAAGGTAAGAGTTGCAAGTTCATAAAGCCAGCTATGGCAACCATTGGTTAGCTTGTTCTTTCAGATTATTGAAGAAATCTCATCTGTTTAGCTTATAACTATGTTTTTATAAATGTCACTCGAAGGGCCTGTTTGTTAGCAGCTTAATGAGCTTAATGGGACTCACAGCTTATTCGGTCACCTATGTATGACTGTTTGGTAGTGGCTTGAAAGTGGCTTATTTAGTAAGCTTCTAGGGGGAGCTTTATGCAGAAAGCCAAAAAAATTCCAACCTGCCCCGCTCAATTAAAAAAACAGACTCCTTCCGTCTATGAAGAAACTCTCGCAAATAAATATCTTCCCAATCTATATAGACAAATTAATCCACACGGACAGATTTATTCATACAAGACTTGATGGAAACCAACTAACCAACCTCGAAGTGGCATTTCAATAAAGCTCTAGGGCTCTTTTCCATGTTTTTTTCCCAATTATATCCCTATTTTTCCAATCAAATTATGTCATTTTAGGTCATTTTACGTTGATGTATAGGTTTTGCCAAACATGACTAGCTTCTTAGTAAATTCATGAACTAATAGCCAGCTTATCAAGCTAGTTTCCCGAACAGAGTCTGAGTATAGTTCTTTTTCCTTATCCTTTTGTTATTATGGTGGAGGGGGTGGTGAAATGTTAAAAAATGTAAGATTTTTACATGACATAAATAATACTTCATCAATTTGCAGGTTATATCTACATTGCTTAGGCCTCGAAACTGGAAACCTCCCGCTAACAGGAGGTTCTTCCTTGATTCTTATGAAGTGGGAGAGCTTTGCTATGCCGCTGAGCAGATCTTTTTGCACGAGCCTACAGTTCTTCAGTTGAAAGCACCCATCAAAGTGTTTGGTGATCTACATGGCCAGTTTGGTGATCTCATGCGGCTGTTTGATGAATATGGATACCCTTCCACGGCTGGAGACATAACGTATGAATAAATTTACAACTTACTATATACTTGTAATTGTTCCCTTCATTAAATTTATATTGCACCTCTTGAATACTTGGTTGAATGGCTAACAAGAGCATTGTATTCTCTCTTTTTTAGTGTATCAAGTGCTTCAGTTAATTTAACGATCCTTTCTTTCTTTCTTTCTCAGGTATATTGACTATTTGTTTCTTGGAGATTATGTTGATCGAGGCCAACATAGTTTGGAGACAATCACTCTGCTCCTTGCTCTAAAGGCAAGTTTTATCTGAAACCCATCGTATTGACCTAATTTGATATCGAAGCTTGACTCCTTTTTTTTCCTTTTTTTTCAGATTCAATATCCTGAGAATGTTCACTTAATACGTGGGAATCATGAGGCTGCTGATATAAACGCACTCTTTGGTTTCCGTCTTGAATGCATTGAAAGAATGGTAATGTAACTATGTATGACATGTCGGTTTTTTTGAAGTAGATATAATCTTTACATATGGCAAAACTCACACACGTTCCTCACCGGGGCTTGAACTCTTGACCTCCGTTGACCTCCGAGAAGGTTGGGATTTACCTGGAACCAGATACTGACAGGCCAATACCCTTTGGTATGTCAGAATTTTTATTCGTGAAGGTTGTAGTCTTCTTACGATGTTGAATGATGTACAGGGAGAGAATGATGGGATCTGGGCATGGACGCGGTTCAATCAACTGTTTAACCATCTTCCACTTGCGGCACTTATCGAGAAAAAAATTATCTGTATGCATGGTGGCATAGGGAGGTCGATACATTTAGTTGAACAAATAGAGAAAATAGAACGACCCATCACCATGGATGCCGGATCCCTTGTGTTGATGGATTTGCTATGGTAAGTTTATGTCGTTTTGGGTGCGTTTGGCATGTAGACAGGATTGGACAGGAATGAGGTAGGCGGGGGTGAAAGAATTGTGTGGAAGGTTTTAATCTGACCTGGGTGGTTTAGTAATTTATGTATCTTGTCCCATCTGCTTGATTTTTGTTCCACCTATTTTGATGTTAAGAAAGAACTGCATTTTTGTCCCACTAAGTCCGTCATGCTAAATGCACCCTTTATGTTTTGCGTTTATTTCTTAGGCTTTTGTTAGAATTTTTTTTTCTTTTGGCAGGTCGGATCCCACAGAAAATGATAGCGTGGAAGGTTTGAGACCAAATGCTCGGGGACCTGGTCTCGTAACTTTTGGGGTATGTATGCTGTTTTTCTATAGCAATATGATACACTTTTGCTTAGTTTGTCTTTACTAGATGGCTTAATCGTTTTACTACCATATTATGGATTATATGGTCCAAATATGCTTTACCAACGGAATAATATGTGCCGTCCGATAGGAGTTCTTAGAGGCGTAAAACTAAGGTAGCAGACTTTTAGAGGAAATAGTAGCTACTGTAGAGGGGTACTCTTGCTACTTGCTAGTAATAACTCTTAAAAAAGAAGTTTTTGACTTCCAGACTTTTTCGGAAGCTGGGGATCTTAACAAAAAAACAGGAGTTGACCCACTATGGTGCACACGGTGTCACAGGCCACCACCTCGTTCCTCCGTGATAGTGTAACAAAATTTGGGGTCGTGAAAGGTGACACCGTATTATTTTTGTTGGGTGCCACCGACCCACCATATATATATCGAAAATACTATAATAACACAAGTTTCTCTTGGCAGAGTTGGTTTTCAGTCTTTCCTTCCCTTCGAGGCGCGGGTTTGAATCCCATTTGGATCATTTTCTTAGGTTTATTATGTTTACGAAAATTTTGGGAATAAAAGACTTAAATAGGAAAAGCAAGGAACTAACCAATAGACGAATGATGATTTTGTTAAAAATATCCATAGCTTCGTTTCTTATAGTCAAATAACGCCACCCCTTAAAAACATTCCTAGGTCCACCTCTGACAAAAACATCTCGGTACCATGGGCAATGCCTGACCTACATTGAAAGGAGTTGGTAAGCTACCCCCATAAGTTATCTAAAAAGCAGTTACATTGAAATTTAATTTATGATATATGCCAACCTTATTTAGCCCCCATGAAAGAATAAACGTGACCCCTAATCAAATATTAGCTCAAATCCAATTCCATTTCTTTTGAAGAATGTAAATTTTTATCATTTTTATACTTTATTTATTTGACTTCTATGATATATATTATGTTACTCAAATTCTGTCTCATCACCAAAATTCCTGGAACTGCCATTGGTTGGGGTAGTGAAAAGATATGAATGCATCATACATACGCCCTACACCCTACACCCTACACCCTACGCCAAGTGGATATACTGTGTATGTTACTTTTGTTTTTTACCTTCAATTTTTACTGATCTTCATAATTATTTGCAGCCTGACAGAGTGAGTGAGTTTTGTAAGAAGAACAAACTTCAGCTAATTATAAGAGCACATGAATGCGTAATGGATGGGTTCGAGAGATTTGCTCAGGGACAGTTGATTACCCTTTTCTCTGCAACCAACTATTGTGGTAAGAAACATTTTAACTGCTGTTATTCTAGGTTGTGGTTTTTTTAAAGTATATATTTATATACGGCAAATACTCATGCACACTTCTCATATTTGGTGAGATCTGAACCATGGGCGGATCCACCTTATATGGGTAGGGGCACATGCCCCCAACCAAAGTCATAGAAGTTGTGATTATTTTTTTTAAGCCCCAATTCTCATATTTAGTCCAACCTTCTTCCATTGATCCCCCCAACTTCCTTTCGACGACCAACACATTGCTCCCTGTGACCCAATTTTTGTTTTTGGTGTCGTAAATATCAGCAATAGAAGTGTCTTTTTGGATGATATTGATATTTAAGACTGATGTTTGTTGGAATATAGTTAATTTTGTCAGATTATGCATTCTTTGCTGCCGTTAACGGTGTCTTGCTAAGGATTTCAGAATAACTCGAAAACTGAATAACCTAAAAACGTTTAACCCAAACCTCATCCAGTTCGGATGGGTTATTCGAGATTGGATTTTCTTAAATAACCCTAGGTGTTCCCCTGATCACGACTTTCGGATTGCCAGTGATCCTATTACTATGTTGTGGTAAATTTGGTGTAATTATGATCCATTCAGGTACGGCCAACAATGCTGGTGCTATACTGGTGATCGGCCGAGGGTTGATGATTGTTCCTAAACTGATTCATCCATTGCCGCCTCCACTTCAATCACCGGAAACATCTCCAGAACGCCTCCGAGATGACCCATGGATGCAGGTAACCTTCTGTTTTATATGTGAAAATTGATCCCTGGTTTAAAATCGTGCAACAAAGTTTGGTTTAGTTTTTATTTAGTGTAACAAATTTACTTTTTCTCAATTGATGCAACAAAGTTTCAAATTTTTATATTTTGTATCTAGTTTTGACTGGTAACTTGTTGATCTTGTAACATTTGATGACGTGGAAACCCGTTTATGAGAGGTTTACAAATTGTGTACAAAAGAGTTGTGTCGAAGTGAACGATAAACTTTGACATCCAAGTCATCATATGTTACATCAAGTAGGAAACTTTGATACATCGATTGAGAAAGTTTGGAACTTCATGATGTTAATTAGGAAATTATAGATCTTTGTTACAATAAATAGGAGCTAAGACGAACTTCGGTGCATTTTGATAATTTTTTTCCTCTTACCAAACTCGTTTATTTAAATGAAGTTTACTTTTTACAAGTGATTTAACTCTTTTGAGCAAGACCCGATTCCCGGCCCTAGCCCTAGTCCTAGCCCTAGCCTTGTCCAATCTAAAAAGCCCAGACCTAGTAAGCCCGAGCCTGGTCTGGGCTAGACCTCAAAGCCCAATCAGGACAAAATTTTGGGCCTCAAAGAAGCTTGAAAAGCCCGATCGTGGAAACAACTGAGCTATTTGTCATTTGCATGCACTAGGACAGTTTTGGTACCATCTATGACTTGGATCTTACATCTTTCGTGGTGTTGTAGGAACTTAATATTCAAAGGCCACCCACCCCTACGAGGGGTCGTCCGCAAGATCATGATAGGAGCTCGCTTGCATATATTTGACATATGACAAGTGCCCAGTTCCAGTTACTGCATGGTGAAGAAAAGAGAACGCATTGATCTTGTATTTTGTATACAGATGAGTTGTTATGATGAGTGCCTTTGATTGTAGCTTGCATATATAGCATTATTGATATTTTACTTAGACAATGCATATGTATCTTCTGTAAATTCAGGCATGTATGCTGATTGTGCAGTAATAATGTAGCTTAAAACAACATTTGGACGTGTATTTGCCAAATATTAGGTTATAAATCAAACTCGATATATTTCACCTGAAAAAACACAAACCCGAAGCCTGGTCTTATAGCCCGATCAGGCGAATTGGGCCTTTTTTCTAACCCCAAACTCTAGTACAAAACAGGCTTGGAAGTCCCGGTCTTATGTATCTCTACTTTCCATGGTAGGTTGAGAAGAAATAGGGTTGAACAAAAAGGGCCCAAGTGCAAAGCCCAACCCGAAAAAGCTTGGTCATGGTGAGCCCAAAGGGGGTGTTTACTTGCTACTTATAAACACTTATTGAATAAGAGCCTCTTACCTTGATAAGAAGTGGAATGTTTACTAGTCATGTATTATGAAAAGAGGGTCTGACCGTCCCGTTGACCCGGCAAGAATCGGTCAGCAAGCATTACCCTCCTTATCGCAATCAGAGATACGTTGTTGATTTTTTTTCGATTTTATCCTCCATTCCCCCTATTTCAATCGCATTCTTCATCCTTTAAAGATCAATCGTCCCTGTTTTAGAAGCAATCAAGACTGTAGAACCCTTCATTATAGTTCATCGATCTCCTGTTTTCATCCTCATTCTCTCGTTCGCCTTCCTCTGTTTGTCATCGGCAATATGCTCTAATCAGGCTCCATCTACAATTTCAGGTATGTCATTACCATTCGTTTATGTCTAAGGTCTTCAAGATTAGGGTTTTTATTTGTTGAGTAATGATTTGTTACCGTTGATCTATTTAGGGCTTCTTTATGTTTTTGGTTGATGAATAAATGTTTGATTTTGCCTGTTTAAATCAATGTTTAACAAGTTCTGTTAAATAAATGATTTGGAGAACAATTATATTGTGGGTATGTTTAAGGATTCTGGTTTGCTGTTGTTTTAAATTAGAAATTGGGCAAAATCTAGTTAAGAATTGAACTAAATAAGCTGAGTTAAGACATCATTTTTTGGCTTTGATTTAGATGCTCCCAAATGCTAGTTATCATATATGGAGTTGCAATTGGTTCAGTGATGCTTATGATCTTGAAAATTTATCATTTACTATATAATATACATTTATACATACATACATACAAACATAGAAAAGGAAGCTAATGTGTTTCGTAGTATGCTATCTTAAGGTTGTTTATAAAACTATGTGTGGATAGTGGATACCATATGAGCTACTTTCAAGTATGCTCTATTTGGTTTTTAACCAAAAAATAATTTGCACTGGTGCTACAATACAAACTGCCTATCAAATGATACAACAAATAGATATGGTAGACAAAACACTGGTTCATTATATTTCTGGTACAAATCTGTATTTTTAACTAGGCCTGTAGATCCATCTTCCCTTACTACAGTGATTACCAAATACCTACCAAAGGGTCAACGGCCTGAATTATAATGCTATGTCTAAACTATGTTTCATGCTTATTATATGTTTGATGGAGTTTGTATTTACCGTTAGTATAAGAGGTCTTATAACTATCATGTCGTTGTTTGCTAAGAGGACCATTTTTATTCCTCAATTTGAAGCAAACAACCGTTAATTATTTGGATTACAAGACATGCACCTTTGAGCTAATCATGATATGATGGTTAATGTTTTAGATATGATGACAAATTTTGGCGAATCTTCACAATCAAAAAAGCCTAGGGTTAACTGGAAAAAAAATGTGGTGAAAACATTTATCGAGTCTTGTTTGCATGAGATCTTCGTAAATGGACGAGAAAGGGGTAGCCTTAAGGCAGTTTCTTGGAAGAATGTAGCAGAAGTGCTACAAAAGAATCATAATTTTGTTGTTGAACAACGACAAATAAAAAACCATTATGATTACCTCAAAGGAAAGTATGGAGCATGGACATAGTTAAGAAACAAGACGAGTAATGTTTATGATGCATCAACAAACATGTTTAATTTGTCAAAAAATGAATGATAGATAGAAATGAAGGTTACGTTTTATCTTTTTCTATTAAGATTATTTTCTTAAATTCTTCTTTTATATATACTTATAAATCTTTTATAAACAGCAAAACAAATTTGTTGAGAAATTGCAGACTGCACCTCTTCCCTTTCCTTAACTTTGTTTTCAATTGTTTGATTGTGTGACTTCCACTGGTGTTGGAACTTGGGGACCAACTGCTACTGTTCCAAACCCTCCTAGTGTGACTCCTGAAATTGCTGAAGATTATAGCACACAAGACTATTATGATCTAACACAAGAACCACTTCCTACGGAAGAAGAGATTGTTTTTCGTCCCCAACCTCAAGGAAAAATAAAGCCAAGAGGAAAACAACGTTTGGAAAATGAGGATGATTTAGCAGGGGTTGTGACACATGTTAAACAGATCTTGAATAAACACCAGGGGAGGATGAGATGGATCATTGCATAGATAAGTTGGAAACACTTGGGTGGGAACAAACTCCATTGTATGACATAGCACTTTACATATTTAGCCAAAGCACCGACTATAGGAAAATTTGGCTACGCTTGAGTGAGGAGAGGTGTGAGGGATGGGTTAAATTTACAGGTGGTAAGCTCGGCTTATTTTAGTTTGGTGATGTTTTGTTTTGAACAATCTTTTTTAGATGATTTTTTTAGAATGTTTTGTTTGGATGATATTATGATTGATATAATATGAATAAATGGCTATTTCAATTTGACGGAATATTTGTTTAAACTTGATGTTATATTTATGATATCCTTGCAACCTAAGATGATGTTATTTTGGGTTTTATATTTGCAAGGTCATACATGGATGAAAATAATATTATTTTGATTGTGGATATTGTATATTGGTATTTTAGAAGAAGAACTTCAACACAAATAGAAAGGGTGAGAGATAACACTTCGGTTCTCACTAGACATGCGTATACACAAGAATTATTAAGTGGATCCAACACGCAATGTCATGAATTGATGTGTTTATCTCGTGATGCCTTTATAATGTTATGCGACCATTTTAAACAAAAAAATTGGTTGCAATCAAGTAGACAAATAAGTGTTGAACAGAAGATGACGATGTTTTTGACAATTGTTGCTCACAATGAACGCTTTCGCTTGGTTAAACGTAGATTTCAACACTCTACGCGGACTATTCATAATTGTTTTCATGAAGTATTGCAAGGAATGATGGAATTCGCGAGAGAAGTAGTAGGGCCAACATCGGTTAATGGAAAATCAAATTCATAAGAGAGATTTAGGCACCTCAAAGAAATATTTTTGGTATGATTTATGTTATTGATTTGATAATTTCTAAACTTTTTTGATATTTTTACAAGCTTCTTATAATTTGATAATTTTTAAACGTTTTTTATATTTTTACAAGCTTCTTATAGTTGATATTTTTTAAAAGGGGCTATAGGTGCACTAGATGGAACCCTGATACATGCAGTTGTGCCTAGTGATCAACAAACAAAGTATGGAGGAAGAGCGGAATGCTACCAAAACGTCTTAGTCATTTGTGATTTTAATATGATATTCACTTTTGTATGGGTTGGATGGAAAACATTGCACATGATTCAAAAGTTTTGAGGGAAGTTGCATTTAACTCCAACTTCGGGATTCCCGTTTCCTTCATCAAGTAAGTATCATTTTATTAACATTAAAAGATTATTATTAATCCACATTTTTTAAGTTCTAGATGTAATTACAGATGAATATTATCTTTGTGATGCTGCATATACTTGTACTCGTGGATTTATGACTCTGTATCGCAATGCGATATATTGGTTAGCAGATTCTCGATGTAGACGAGCATTAACGAAAGAAGAAATGTTCAATCATGTTCATGCACAATTTAGAAATGTTATCGAACGTGCATATGGTGTCTTAAAAACAAGATTTTCAATCCTTTAGCAAATGGCTTCTTATCCTTTTTCAATACAGAAAGGTGTGGTGATTGCTTGTTTCACGATTCATAACTTTATAAGTAAATGCAATATCCAAGACCTATTATTTATGGAACACGATGAGAACACGATGTTCACCGCCAACGAAAAACAACGTGAAGGAAACAATAAAATAAAAGTCGATTAAATGCAATGGAGTTCTCAATATAGTGAATATATGACTAGTTTGCGTGATCAAATTGCAAATCACTTATTATCTAATATTTCAAATTAAGATCTGTACGACAATTATTATGTTTAAATTCAATTTATTTTCCCGGTTAAATATATTTTTATTATGAAATTTGTATTTTTATCATTTCAACAATTATTCATACATAAAATTTGGTAAATAGTCGCATTAGTTTAAGCACTTCATCACATATATATTATAATGGTCATTTTTTTATTAGTCAGCATCAAATCCAGAATACTTGGTAAACAATTTTTTACAAACAACATTTGCTCCAGACAAAGATACTTGCTCTAATCAGACCTCTTATTTCACAGTACTTATTAACTATTGTCGGTAAACAGCCCTGAAGTCTAGTCCAGGCCAGACCTCAAAGCCTGGTCACATTAATATTTTGGGAGCAAGCCTAGCCTGAAAAAGCTTGAAATAGCCCGATTAAGCCCAGAAAGGCTCGGGCCTTGTTTTGCTGACTGAAAAAATGGTTCAGAAGGCCCCGGCCTGGTGCATCTCTAGATGCCACCCCCATTGGCAGAAGAGTGGTGCCCAGGCTCAAACCTGGTTGCTCGTATGGATTACACCCACATCCAAGACAAATGAGCAAAAACTTTCCATGGTAGGTTATATCCAAGCAAAAACAACGATGACAGATATCCAACTAAAGACATGGGGAACATCATATTCCCATATTTGTCATCCACTACCCCAATAGTAGAGAGACCGTTTCTGTGATGGGTTATATGCAAGCAAAAAGGATACGATGACGATATCCAACCAAAAGACACGAGGAACGTCACAGTTGATACATATATATCTTTCTATTTGATTTTTCGTTTCCGTCACCAATCTTGCATCAAAGAGGGCAAAAGTTTTAACAGAACAATAAGCGTCTATGATGCTAAAACCATGTGGAAACATAACAAACTAATTACCTGCTTCGATCACACAAACAATCTACATGAAACCAAAATATTCTTTAGATATTTCAATTAACTTGATGGTCACTAATTAGAAGCCCCTGCAAGATAAAAGAGAACAACATCAAACATCCAAATCTTCAAAAGTAGGGCCTGGAAGGGGTAGAGATGAATAGCGTTACGAGTGTGTTACCATTCATTACACCAAATTCTGTGCCAGATTTGGTGTCCCCATTGGAATGATTTAGAGTCGAATATGGTTTTTGGTGTAAGATTTGGTGTCCCCATCGAAGATGGTCTCTCATAATCATACAAGAGATGGGTGATGAACAGACTAGTCAACTACCGCATCCAAATATGCATTTTTCAATACTGGATTTCAGGTTTGGCATAGGTGTTTCCTGGGCTTACAAAAATATTCTTCTACAGAACCAACAAGGGTCAAATCATCAAAATGCAGAGTTTGTTTTAGTTCCTATTTAGTGTAACAAAAAAAAATCTCAATCAATGTAACAAAGTTTCAAATTTTCCTATTTAATGTAACAAGAGTATCTGAATGTCCTCTACTTAACGTAACATTTGATGACGTGAAAGTCAAGTTTATCGTCCACTTCGTTATCCATGTCATCAGAAGTTACAAAGATCAGCAGGTTACTGATAGACCTCAGTTGGTTAAAACATATGTGAGAAAGAAGTATAAAGGAAACGCGAGTAAAATAGAGAGGGCAGTTTAGTAAGTGTTTCTTGGGAGGGCAGTTTATAATAACAGAGTGAGGAAATAAGGGGCGTGTTATTTGTCTGTTATCAACTTTGTATTGGGAGAGAACTGGCTCTTGAATTCCAGTAATCCTATAATTCTCTTTCAATTTTGAATCAATTTACATTGAGATCTTATCATTTTGGAACATTGTTGCATCAATCAAGGGAAAAAAATCTTTGTTACACAAAATAGGAACTAAACCAAACTTTCTTGCATTATGATGCATTTTGCCTGACTCAAAAATGAAAACTTGGTGGTTTGAGCAAGTAAATGAAAGAAAATCCATCACAGTTATGCAATATAATTGGTTGATTTTAAGCAAAAACATGAATATAAGTGTATAACCACAAGGGTGGTAGCGTGGTGGATAAAGACAAGCTGATGATTAAATCAACCCGAGTTTGAATCCTGCCATCTCCATATGTGCTTGTGGCCACTGGGAGATTAGTCTCAGGCCACTGCCATCTCCATTGGATTAGTCTGGGATCACCCATTTCCAAAAAAAAATGCCCGTTTCCAATAAAAATGTGAATATATAAACGCACCTGATGTCCTTGATGCAGCCAAATTCTCCGCAGATGGAGCAGTTGACGTCTGGCCTCTGTTTTGGTCTCTTGAAACTTTTAGGGCCCTGAGTTTTGCAGATGCTCTAATTGAATGTATTAAAGGCACCTCCTCATCTTCATCCTCGTCTGCTTGATTTTCTTCCTCACCATGATCGGATATGCTTATTGAATCCTCCTCCTCATCTTCACTTGAAGTGTTCTCAACAAAGAGTTTCTTCCCTTCCATATTCTGTTTCTTACGAGGCCGACCACGCCGTCTAACCGACGTCCCTTCTCTCTCCTCTGAAATATTAGTTTCAGACGTCATAAAAGTCAGAAACCCACTGAAACAGTAAGGGGACATTTGGTCTGACAGAATGTTTTTTAGGGATTTGGATTTCATAGAAGGATTTGGAATCTTTGGTGTGTTTGGTTTGAAGGATTTGGAATGGAATTGAATTTCAGGGAATATAGATAATTTATAGATAAAAAAAATAATTAAGTTACTTCATATTAATTAACTATTACACAACGAATGTAATTAAAATATTTAGAGCAGTATTACAAACAAATCCTATAAACCACCTGAAATACCAACTAACCCCATGGAATTTCCAGAGTGTTTGTGAGATTCCAATTTCGGATTTTAGTTTAAACCAAAAGCGGGATTGGAAAGGAATGCAATCCTAAATCCCACAAATCAAACGGGCCCTAACGAGATTTGAGCTACCTATATAAATCAGATGCAAACCATGTCCAGATGATAACCATCCCCACAAGGTACTCGGTCTCAAAATAAATGTCAATAATGAAAAACACGCAATTTAAGAAGAGTGCACTTATTACACATTCTAATTAACTGAATGACCATTTTTACTCTCTCTCTCATCAACTCTTAAATATTTGTGCATTATAAGTAAGGGTAGAATTGGAAATTTAGTTAATTATTACCATATGTTTTGAAAGAGGACACTTATTTTGGAGACAAACTTGAATAGAAATTTGGACACTTATTTTGGAGACAAATTTGAACAGAAATGTAGACACTTATCTTGGGAAGGGCGGAATGCATGACAGAACTATATAAGTACATTCGTCATAAGAACCATATGTTTCATCTGAGAAGTCCTGGGTAGAAAGGAACTAAAACAGCTATGAAGAAAGTAATTTACATTTTCCCGGCTATGTCAATATGTTATGGAAGGTTCTTTCTGAACTTCATTGCACATCAAGATTTATTTGCGAATAAATGATATGTCAAAGACGCTTCTTACAGCATCTCCAACAGATCCTCCAAAAGAAGAAAGTAGGAGAGAGGGGATAAAGATCTCCAAATCTAGAGAACTCTCGAAAATTAAATGCTGAAGAGACAGAAATGTTATTTTAATGTTTCCACCAATGAAGTTGAATGTACTACAGTACTACTATTTCATATAAAGTTTATTTGAAAGTATGTTGGGATATTAGATCTACTAAATATTTTATTATATATACTTTTTTTTTGAAATCTCCAAAAATGGAGACACTGCTGGAGTTGAAGTAATTTTCTTCTTCAAAAATTCTGACTTTTGCTTCTCCATTTTGGAAATTATAGTCTATTAGAGATGCTTTTTGTTTTCCACACATATTCTTCTACTTCTACATGTATTGGCTGAGAGAATGGGAGGTTGGAATATCATCATATCTGATATACTTAACAACATTAAAGTTCATTTATCAAGGGACTTAAAGAAACCAACGAACCTTCATTTTTAGCACATCTCTCACGTAGGCCGTCTACAAATGTCAAGTAGGGGCGCCAGCCACTTGGATCTTCATCTGTGTTTACACTTGCTGTTCGATCTTGAAGATCCTTTAAACTGATTATGGAGGTAAGTAATATTTAGTTGTTCCTGTACATAATAACTTTCCGGGCAAGATAACAATAAATTTTGGTTTAGTTTCTATTTAGTGTAACAAAAAAATTCTCAATCGATGTAATGAAGTTTCAAATTTTCCAATTATGTACCCATTTTCACCGGTAAGCTGCTGATTTTGTAACATTTGATGACATGAATACTATTCCGAAAAGATTACAGCAAACTGGACGATAAACTTCACAGCCATGTCATTGGATCTCACAAGATCAGCAGATTATCAGTCAAAATGGTAAAAAATAGGAAATTTTGAAACTTTGTTACATTGATTGAGAAAAAATTCTTTGTTATACTGAATAAAAAACCAAGTCAAACTTCATTGCATTTTGCCCTAAATTTTCTAGAACAATTCGCCTACAATGAGAGAAGGCTCTTACATGCCAAGATTATCAGGCTTGGGAAGTTTGGATGCAAAATTTGTAACCGCACACATCAAGAAAGACAGGCGCCGTGGGGCATCCGTGAAAGCATACTCAACTCCATTGGTCACAATATTATAGATTACCGATCTATTCTTATTACGTGCAGCAGCACCAACAAAGAAACCAGAAAGACGAGTAGCTAGATCTTTACATTCCTTGAGTCTCTTGGCAGACAAGGATTCATCATTGGAAGTAGAAGGTACCGCCAAATACCGTCCATATGACTAGTCAAAAGACAATAACTATTTAGGATCAATAATGAAAACTTAATACCGGAAATCCAAAAGAACATGCTTGAAATTTACAATCTATTACGAAAGAGGCAATGGCCTAGTGGTATCCAGGTTACCAGGAGCGCTCAGCCTCTCTAGAGGTCAAGGGTTCAAGCTCACCAAAGGCGAGGAGTGTGGGGGAGTTGTGCAGCATAAAAATATCATATACTTCAGATGTATATATACACACTGTGTTTTCCTTTGGTGTGCATTCCTGTTCATCTGAAAGTTAAATACTAAGGGTACATGCATGACCCCACACAGAACACAACAGTAAGTGCGAACTCAGGCTTCTCTAACTCATGGCCAGCTAGTAAAAGGATAGAGACTATGGAAAGTTTTACCCCAAACAAAGACGAGATAAAGATGATGCAGGAAATGAAGAAATTTCCATCCACAACTGGTACGAAGGAAAAGATAAAAAAAACAGCATGTACTTGGCTTTTTGCTTATATTATAGGTCCAAAAGAGGCTCCAATGACCTGAATCTCATGTATTTTAGTATTTATGTTGAACCTTTTTCTTTCGTCTCCTCATAACATTTAAGTTAACTCAAGTTAATCATAAGAAAGCCCTATGTACGTAAAGCATCCAGAAAAACACCATTTACGAATATGTAGCTGCAGAAAACTAAAGAAGCATATAATAGCGTATTTTGTTAAGTGAATGACAAGTCTTACCTGTTTCAGTGCCTCCAGAAATATATCAGAGACATCCTCATCCTTTTTCCTAAGACCAACAACTAGATATTTAACTATTTCAGCCACACTTGTCCCATGCATCACATAATGGGAAATGATATCCGGGGAAAGATACTCCTACATTTGCCATAAAAATTGTAGTACACGTCAACAAACTCAAAAGGTCTTAAGGAACCATGAGAAACAGTAAAAATATGGTGCAGCTGATACACGTATGGATTTTCCTTTAAAATAAATGTAGATAACTAAAAAATAACAATTGAGATTCCAAAATGTCCACTTCCAGACCATATAAACCCAAACCAAGCCAAACAAGCCCGGCATATCCCGTCCACAAGGGGGGCCACGTAGACCTGACCTCTAGCCAAAAGAGCAGAGCGGTTGTTTCTATGAAGACCCGCGGCTTGTGCAAAGTGTAACAGATAAACAAAATGATAACGAAGAACTTGAAAACAAAAAGGTTTGTACAAAATTTTGAAAAACTTGATGGAAGTAAGCAACAATTTATGGATAAGATGATGACCTTGGGAACAGCTTCGACTGCAACTAATTTGGCAGCAGCAATCATAACAGCATCTCGATTTGTTTCTTCCACATACTCTTTGTTAACATCTTCATCTTCCGTTTCATCTGCAGGGTTGTGAAAGGGTCAATTTGCAGACGAAAAATTGGAACATAGACACCAAAAGATTATAAGTGTGACTGCACCTTCATGTTTTCCTAAAGTGTCGATGCTAGTTATTAACATCTTTAGCTTTATGCTATGTTTGCCACAGATTAGACCTACACATAGTTTTGTTTTCTTGGACAAGCTGGTTGACCCTCAGATATATCTGGGATTCTACAATATTAGGAATACCCGGGTGGCTTGGGCAGAGCCCGCTTGGTTCAAAGCATGTTCCTTGGTGTGCTTCTATAATATGGCTGTGCTGCCATGGAAAAACAGCATGGGGATAAGAAGGATATGGTTGGCCTCTCAAACAACCCTAGATATCATGGCCCAGGAGACTTTGGAACTTGATGAGAGCCTTTTCTCTAGTTTGTATATTTTATATTTGATCAATTCAAGTAGCCAAGGGAGGTGGGTACAGTGGACCCTGTCTGCAAGTGGTAGACCTTGTTTGTTAATGTCCAAGGAAATTCTTTCAAAAGAGATCACATAAAGCATTCTACGCTCCTACAAGCACAATAAATGGGAGGAGCAAAATGATATCACCGACAGAAGCAACTCTCTGCACCGGGGTTTGTTGATATTACTGGTAGATTGATTAAATGCAAGCTAAATACTCTTCCGAGGAACAGAGATCCCTGCCAACATTACAGGGATAAATTTATATAATGATGCAAAGATGGAAAAGTGAATTCTTTTTGAAGTGAAAGGTGGCCTAATTCGACTTGCTAAAATATATAAAAATTGTGTTTTTCCCTCGGCGCCTTCAGGGACGTAGTTGGCTGCAGTTTTAAGCCTTCTAATTGTTGCGGGCAGTCCTATAAACTGCTGAGGTTTGTCCCTGTGATTCTGTTTAATATCTTCCTAATTCCTATACAAACTATTGAATCTTAAAAAGAGAAAAGAAAGGAGGAAAAAACACTAGCTCCAAGCACATTGATTAGCAGCACTTAAACATGAGAAATCGGAACATGAGACGTAAACAGAATGCACATGTACATGTTTGCATATGCCAACAACACACACCAAACAGACACAGAGATCAAGCGAGTCGAATTCCCTTTTGGTCAGTTTCACATATACACATAAAGCACTTCCTTCAGTAATTGGTTTTGAGTTCCTGTTTGGTACAACAGTTTCCTTTCCATCCCAAACGGAAGGGGAAAAGAGAAGGAGAACAAAGACAAAATATCAATATTTTTCAAAAAGGGTAATTTCTTGCCTAGTTCTTGTCATGCAAAAGAGAAAAGAAGGCCCAGTCACTTACAATTACATGTACACAATTTTAACATAACACGGAACTTGAGAAGGATATGTCACCTGAAATATCAAGTTGTTGCTCACAAAGCTTCCAGAATTTCCTAAGAGTAGAAACATCAGGACGGTATCCTAAACTTTCCATCTCTGTAGACGCATAGATTGACTTTCTGAACAAACACCACAATTCTGCAAGTATTGTACAGACCTTGGAGAAATGGGAGATTTTAGTGGACCAAAATTGTTACAGACGGTTCAAACAAGCAATATACTTAAGTGCAAAAAGTCTAAACATGAGTGAGAGGTTGCAGCAAAGAGTTAAAAATGCTCACCCTAGATGCAAGGAGGCTTCCAGAATTTCCCTTTCCTAGAGCTTCAGGTGGAATTTGCAAAAAGTGCTCAAGTTCCTCAAACAATGTGTTCCTTTTGGATATCAGAGAAGATAATGATGCCTCAGGGACAACCTTGCTGGTCGTAATTGAGTGTAAGCACCAGGCAACATGCAAATACATATTGAGAAGCAGAAAACTAATAACCTACATAGTACAAAAAAATAAAAGTATGTAAGAATAGAATCTTTATATGAATAGAGAAAAATCCAAATTTTCATTGTAAAAAATTTGGATCCCACACCTCATCATCTATATTCCGGAAATTTTTTAGAACCATAGTGATATCATCATACAAACTTTCAATTGCTACAGGCCTTGACAATTGCAGCTCGTACAACCTTTTCATATTTACAAGAAGCGAGTACTCATCGTCGCCATCCTACAAGGTAAATCCGCGTCATGTTAATTTGACTAAAATATATAAAGCAAAAAACTTCACTTACATTTAGGATAATATTGTTGCAATAACATGGATAGTTAGATTCATAAAGTAGCACTAATTTCCTTATAAGGTTTATTAACTTGGCCAATCAGGGGGCACAAAAAAAACCCTGGGTGATATTAAATTGTTAATACAATTATACCGCTACTTCTGTTATTGCAGCTTTCAGTTTCATAATAAGCTCATCCTCAAGCTCCTTCAATTTATTTTGGGCAACATCTTGAAGCTCTCCCCGGCTTCCAGTCGTGCAAGAATCGATGGCCTTAACACAAGATCTGAGAGCATCTTTGTCACCATGCTTAAAGAATGTCTCTTTCATCAGCTGAAGAACTGTGCTAAAATACTGGAAAGGAAAGAAAACATCCACGGTAAGACCTTGCACAAAGAGATACTATGATCTAAAATTTTAACCTACCCACCTGCTCCTGCCTCTTCATGGAGTAGAGCTCAAGGTTCATGTGAACAATAATTTCAACAAGTGACGGGACTTTTGTTTTGTCAGCCATATACTTGCGCATAAGTTGTGGGTAGTTCTTCATCATAGAAACAGTTATATCCTTCCTATTGCTTTCGATCATTTCCTAGCAATTAAAGCAAAAAATAGATTGGCAAGAATTACTTCAAGTGCAACCAAGCACTAACAAACAAAGAGATCAGCATGCAGCATGCCATACACAGCGTCTTATCATAAGGATTGATTAAACAAGCTCACTCCTTACCCTCTGAGCTTTAGTGTGGATCTGCTTGCGATGGTCAGTAGCAGGAACAATCCTCTCTCCTACAGCTTTCTTGACAGATGCACAGAATAATCGAGTCAAGTTTGTAGCATCATCATCTGTAAGCTCAATTGAGGGATTCTCGTCCAATAGCATAGAGATTATACGTTTCCAGTCCTGCAAGAAGTAACTTAGAATTTGAGAGTAGAAACTATTACACCAGATGGATGATGGTAGAAGAAGAATGTGAGAATCAAAGATAGGAGATGAGTCTATGATATACAACTTACTTTCATGGCATCCATGAACTCCCAAATGTCATCAATGACATAGATGCTTAATATCTGATCTGTTGAAAACTCTCTTAGTATTTGCAGCATCCTTAGAAGATGAATCTGTGATGGATCGCCTTCATCACCTGCAAGAATCAAGCACGCTAATGTGAGGCTACGTGACATTGTCAGAATAAACAGAACTGCGGATGCCATCAACTAGACCTGATGAACGAGACTGTGAGCTATTGAACTTCTGAGCAATCACGTGATCATACACAAGCGCCCCAATGGCACGCCTGACTTCGGGAGGATCGTCAATTAGTAAATCATATAATGAGCCTAAATCATCGTCGGGAACCAACTGATGTCTGCAATGAGCCATAGAAACCCACGTGTGATCATCATTCAAGCAATAGAATACACTTTGAAATTTGAACTAACTTCAAAAAATACAAAACAGTATACTGACAAATACCTCAATAGTTGTTTTACAAGACTGATGGCACATACAGCAACAGATATATCAATGTCATCAGCAAGATCCAGCATCCTTCTATAAAATCTTTCAGTAAATAGTCCAAGAGATGGCACATTGTCATCTACGTCATAGAGATTTTGCAACGCCAGGACAGAAGCTTTTCTTACGCCAGCGCTCTGTAGATAAATAAAGAACAGTAATCCCCTGGTAAGTTAGCACCAATATATATACTTTAACAGATAAAAAATTAACACCAACAAAACTCATTGAACATATACAACTCACTTTGTCATTCAGTGTCCATCCAAGATACTTCAAGTACAAATCCTGCAAGAACAGTGATGGATATGAAAAGATCCATGCTCCAAGTGATTGTATGCACGACATGCGGATTTCAGGATCTATGTCTCGATAGCGATGCACAAACAACCTTCAAAAGGATCAGGGAATCCATTATTAATAAAAACATATGGCAAACATGAAGTGGCGTGCATGAGATCTCCCCTCACTCGACCACCAACCCCTCCCCCCCCCCCTCCTTCCAGGAAGAACAAAAATAGTACCCTGTAAATATTTTCCGCATCATCTCCTCTATCATCGTGATTTTTTCATGCGTCTCTGACAACCTTTTATTAAGTGATTCAACACGAGACCCCTCTGCATTTTTCTTCTTCTCAGCAATTAACTGCCTTTGTGTAGTCTGCCGTTGGGCACCAAGTATCTTAGCAGCCCCAATGAAAGATGTTACCAGCTGGAGCCCCACCAAGGAAGCAACCTGACGATAAACCCTTGGAGGAGTACTGCAAAAGTGTGTATATCAAGCTGATTAACTAAATTAAGTATCTCGAGAAATAGATGTATCTTGAGAACCATATGAGTAGGAGTACCAACCATGACAAAGCAATAACATAGTCCATGCACTTGTCAAACAAGACTTGATCAAACAACGGACCATTTTGGCACTCTGATACCAAATTATCCCAGAAGAACACAAGGTTCTCCTTAAAACTTCTGAGTTCCTTCTTTTTTGAACTTTGATAGTCTTCGATTTTACCCTAAATCCCATCAGGTTAAGCGGAAAGCATATGGGCGGATGTTTCATAAACCATAATATCTTATAAAATATAAGTAGTGAATGGAAGAAACAGTCCTGACCAAAACTGTTTTCCCTTCTACATAAGTGGAAGGGTTTTCCATGCAAAAATAGTTCATCCATTCCTGCCCTTTGATACATTAGGTAAAAGAACACAGAAAGTTAACCAACAACAAAGGATACTTGTGCAGCAAGATTTACAAGAGCAACTACAACGTCATCAACATTTGTCTCATCCAAGAATTCTCCTTGAATGCAAAATTTAGCTCCACAGGCCTGTACAATTGCAGGTTTAGTCAATTGCATGCTAAAGTGACTAAATTTGTACTATTTCTTTCGACTACCGTGATATGGAAGCTACATAATTAAGAACCTACATTTGATTATCTTGATAAAACAAGATGCTTAGTTACCTCAAACAGCATCGTTAAGAGTTCAACCATTGCAGATTTAGGATCCTTCTCATATTGTTCGACCAACGATTTAACCACTTGCGGAATAAGTTTCCCATTCCTTTTAACAACCTCTGTGAAAGAGAGAGGCTAGGCAAATTAAACATATGTCACAAGTAGAAGGAATCAGAGCAGAGATACCCAAGGGCATATGCTTGGGCAAAACATCATCTACTGACAGATAGCCTAAAGAACTCTATTTCTTTGCAGCTATTGCCACACTTCTGATGCTATTGAATTACGCTTGTAAATGAATATCAACATGCAATCTCAGTCGGTATTACAAAACTATACACTAATGCTACCAATAGAGCATAAATATTTCAGAACGTCAACACGATACTCTCCCCCATCTCCATGTGCCTACAAAACTTTTAGACTCCACTTACAAAAATATGGTTATTCTTTTTTCGAGTTTGAAATAAAAATAAAAATCTGCAACCTCCAAGTGTAAAAAAGAAACAATCGGACATTAAACCTTCACCCCCTGAAGAACAGAGACAACGCTTACTTATTCAGCATTAAAGCTACCAACAGCAGTCCATGTATTAATGAAGGTTGACTACCTTATAAACTCACCCTTATTTAATTCGATCACTGTAATTTAAAGGCTCGAAGTATGAACTAGTATCACATTTAACCAATCAACTAGTTTACCTCTTATCATGCTCTTCTTATTGTAGGTTTGAAACTGAATCTGCTTTTGTGGGGGGGGGGGGGTACAATAAATGATTTATTAAACTAACTCCGATTCAGAAATTCAATTGATTATATAACTTACCGATTAAACTCTGATCAACGCCTTTCGCTGCCGGAGTATAAGGAGCTTCTTCGGTAGTTCTGTTTCGATTAGGTTTCCGACGACGTTCATCAAAATCATCACCAGACTCCTCATCAGACTCAACAATGTCTCTAATCTTACGTACTTGCCCATCGTAAGTCTTCGTCAAAACCCTAGCCCTTTTCTATCAACCATAACCACATCAATTTACATACATACAATTAGAACAAAATTCAAAACCCTAGTTATCAAATCACGGTAAGAACAAAAACTTGCGAACAGGTTTCGAGACTAACCGAACGGCGAACCAGTGGTTCAGGAACATCAGGTTCGTCTTCCATGGCGCGGTGATCTTGATAGTACGTGTAGTGAGTGTGTGTGTGTGTGTGTGTGTGTCAGTGAGAGAGAGAGAGAGAGAGGAATTGGGAAATTCCCGCCAGGAAATCAAGTGATTTATTTGGGGGTTGAAGACAGAATATACTTCACATGTCTACACTGTTAGAACGGGTGCATCGTATCTTTTTCATGGCGGTTTCACACCGTATAATTCCCTCCTAAGATAAATTTATAGATTTGTGTTTGCATTCTAAAAATGCTTTTATTTTATTATTATTTATTTTTATTAACCTGGATATTCATCCGGTTATGCGAGTCAACTAATTTTAGGACGATCATCCATGGTCACAAAGAGGATTTCTTATTTCTCATTGGGTTCGAACCTTGGATATCCAGGAACTTTTGATATTTGGAGCACAAGTTTAAATCAATCGGATATCACCCTTGTGGTTGATAATGTTTTTATTACAATTGGTACGGAATGACGTTTTAAAAAATCAATAATTTTATTGTTTTTAACACTAGAAGGATACTCACGTAATATAGCGAAATACATGAAGTGCCCATATGTATCACTGATTATTACTCGTGCGGATATTGAAATTGCTCAAAATAAAGTAATAGAGAGGTTGGGTGTGGCCATGAGACGACACGACCTCTCCTTGTTCCATTTGCCAATAAGTGTTATCCATCACTTCGCACTGACATGTAACGATTTAACACGATCTTTAACATTATAACTAATTTCATATACCCACAAAAATACATATCTCTCTTGATCATATTGATGAATCAAGTGTACGATGTTGGCCATGAAATTGATGTCATGACCACGAACAAGCGAACACCTCTATCTAAAATTCCTGACTCCGTATTAGGTATTCTTTTTCATTATTTTCTCGTTATTAGAATTTAGTAATCCAAATACTCTGTAACAAATATTGTTTTTCTTGCTATTTTTATCTTTTTGTTGTTTATAAAAGAGTTTTTTCTTCTAGGCATGGTAACAGGTCGGGGATGGAACGAGTTTTGTAATATCCGGCCCGGTTTTTAGTAATAGCCCCCGACCCTGGTCCCCATCGGGTACCGGGATTAACATCTCGTCCCCGGTTAATCCCCTGTCAAATCCCCATGGAGAATATTTGTTAGTTACTGAAGGGTATTTTGTTTAGCGGTATATGAGTTCTTGACCTCCTACGAAGTCAGAGGTTCAAACCTCATAAAAAGGTGAGGAAGATGTGTGAGTTTATTTGTTCTATTTGCCGTATATAAATATTATATACTTCAAAAGAGAAAACATCTGTTAGTTTGAGTCTACTGGAGATCCCCTACAGATAACCTCAAAATTTGGCGTGTTACATAATTACAAGTCACACATCGACTTATATCACATCATTCGTGTTGTTTTACATAACTTGTAGTAGGACGGGTATTATGGACCAACAACGTCATATGTATAAACACCAATGTTAATTAATTTATACAAAAAACGAATCAATTTCTATTGAATTTTATTAAAAACGGTTCATTCGGACTAGACGATAAAAAAATTGTTTAAAAAAACTGACCAAATGGTTTAGATCCTTAAAGTATATTAAAATGTTTACGTATTTAATATAGTAAGGTACTGTTTGACAGTTACTGAATGGTTTTGTACAAAATGATTAAGTGGTCATAATGATTAACAGTAGGGGTGTTCGCAGTCCGGTTTGGGCAGTTTAACCCCTCAGACCACAAACAAAACCATAATGGTGGTTTATAAAATTATCAAACCGAGCGATTTGACATCAAGTGCCTAAACCGGTCAAACCAGACCACGAAAGGCAGTCTGGTCTGACCGGTTTAGGCGGTTTAGGCCTTTAATAGACTTTAAATATTAAACTTAAAAAACATATGTAATTTAGAATTTTAGATTAAATATCCATTTTAACAAAACAAAATATCTAAACAAATAAATGTAATAATTATGCAGCTCTTGA